GCAGAACGCGGCGAACGCGACGTCTTCGTCGTCGGTTACTTCGATCGCGAACGGCGTCGAGAAGACAGGCACTCTTCAGGGTGTCGTCGACGAAGGCGGGAAGCTTCACATAGACATCGGTTACATCGAGAAGCTGAACGCTCTTAAGAACGTCTCGCTGGACATGACGAACGAGGTCAGCAAAGGGACCAGGCTTTGAGGATGACGACGACGATGGGGTAACAAGTGTTCCAGCTGTGTTTCGTAGCGTGAAGATATGATAAGTAAGACTAACGTGTCGGACGATGACGTTTTTTTCAGTGACGAGCCTGCAGGGTGAACGGATTATTTTTCTATACGTTGAATCTTCGTGTGTTTTGCGGTAGTATTATGTCAAGAGGATAGACGATATTAGTAGGTTCGCGTGGATTTTCACCCTGAGGAGAATCTCTGTCGTGTAAACGCAATTGCAAAATGAATATTTTTTTGACCGCGAGTGCGATTTTTCTTTTTCTTTTTTATTCTTTTTTTTTCACAGGGTAGTTAGTACAAAGATTACGTAGGCATTCAGCTAGGGGCTTCGTGAAGTGGCACCGTGCGCACACGATGACTATAGACGCGTATACTTAAAGAGAGTAATTACGTTAAATAGAGGTTCCAGGAAGAATGCGTTCACTCGCGTGTCTCGACGATCTGTGCGTGTGTGTGTTTGTGTCTCCTGAAAACCACGTTTCGGTTTTTCCAGGAATTTTCCCCCTTACGCGAGCCCGCATCGGTAGCTAGCAGACTAGGAAATGGTGGCATTTATTGGTGCACGCAAAACTGCACCGCGCTGCACACTGCATCCTACCGTGCTGACTCGATTTTTCTCTTTTCTCGCGTTCTCTCTCCTCTCTCTCGTTTTTCCCTTACGTTGCTCGTTACTCTTTTTTCCCTTCCTTTTCTCCGGCGACGAGACTGACGGCCCTCCCCACTCCTCCTCGTACGTGGAGCACTTAAGAGGTTATGTTTACCTGGAAAAGCTAGAAAATAGCAGCAGTTTCTTTTTCATTTAGCTGCAGGTGAAAATTGATCTGAAGATCTAAGATGCAGTGGGTGATCGAATTATTGGGGTCGTGGTAGGAAAATTTATGGTTCCTGTGTTTCTGTAGAAATAAAATTACAGTATTGAGGTTTGTGCACTGGATAACTTTTAATTAACGATTGTCCACTAGAGAGACACGAGAAAGTGAAACTTAGCTCGAGTAATTTTATAAAATGCAGTTAAGAAGTAAGAACAAAGTGAGTATTTGGTAGCGGCACATTTTGCTGCAATTACCGCCTTGATTCCATTGGACATACTTCCGATACATTTGAAATAATTTACTGTACACTATATTTAGTAAAAGCGCAGCAAGGAAAATTAAAATTATCAAGATTTATAAAGCAACAAAACTGTAACACGCGGTTGTCAAGTGGCGACAGTACTCACAGATAATACTGCAAACGTGAATGCTTCATAAAAAAAAAATACTAAGAATTCAGTGTAACTGGGCTTTAATCTAAAATTCATCTAAAGTAATAGTTTAGATTAATATTTAGATTACGTTCTAACGTAAAACCGTCAATTTCTTGCAGGTAGCTCTAATAATTCGATCACACGTACGTACATGTATCACTTTGCAATTTATTATGGAACGAGAAATGCATTTTTCTTCTCCTTTTTAACCCTTTGGCAGTCCGATATAATTACGAATTGGAGTCAATAAAATTCACATTTTACCCGTATCTGATTAATAATTACGTTACAGTGTACATAATGCTACGTCAGAGTTCTGATAATAATATAACATCTCCTCCCTCTTTCTTCCTAAAAGTCTCTCTCGAGTTGAACTTTTCCTTATTCAACGCACTGTCGATAAACTGTCAAAGGGTTAGCAGTCTCTTGAGATGAATGTAACCTTTTAAGTAAAATGCGGTTCCTAGCTGGTGGAACTCTTATTGGAACACCCGGTTATTTGCGAGCCTCCCCTATTTTCCTCGCAGATTCGCCATACAGACACTGTACGTTATACGTACACGAGCGTGTAATACTCATTGTTTCAAGTCGGGGGCGGAATCACGGGTCTTTCGACGTAAGCATAATTAACGTTAAATTGCTCTCAATTTCGCGAGAGTTTAAGTCTTATCCTGTCTCTTTCGCTTCTATTTTCCGCACCTGTTGACCAAAGAGGACAAAGTGTGTCTGAAAAAGTGTCTCGATCGTTTCAACGACCTATCCTTGAAACGCAAAAAAGATTCTCCCTTGTTTCTCGTCTCTTAACTCTTCGATTTATTTTCCCGACTGTGCTTCTAGGCTATTCGCTGTTTCGGTAGCTGACGTATCGTAGATTAATTAAATTTAGCAATCTTCAGTTTCACGAATTAACCCTTTGCGATCGGCACATTTCTCTGGTTGAACTATCAGCTAGTCGGAGCAAATTTAGATTTTCAAAGTTATTTTTGCATAGTTGATTTATTATATATATAAGGATATTGAAAAACAGAATATTTTGAAACTGATACATTTTGTTTAATACATACTAGTTATAGTGCATAAAAATAAAACGTTTTAATTTCTGTAATTTTCCAAAGTATGATACTTGACAAAACAAAGATCATGCCGCCATAGCGGCGACACCGATTTCTAGAACAAAATTGAAATGCCGCCACTATGACGGCACCGATCGCAAAGGGTTAAACCAAAAGTTCGAATAAAAATCCCTCTTTCTCGCCGATGCTTCTATCAGATCTCCACCAAAATCCGTGGCGCGAGTCTGTCATACGGCAAGGGGTCGAAGAAGTTCGCGAAATAATTCTCGTCAATCTCCAATGTAGCGAAAACGAAGGAATCTCATTTCCCCGCAGCGAGGAAACGAACTCGGTTAACAGGTTAAAGATGAAAAGAGGCGTTCGTTATTCGCGTTTGACGCGAGTTCAAAGAGTAGATCCACTTCCGTCCCCGCGTTTTTTTTTTTTTTTAGAGTGTAACGAAAGTATTGAATCGTGATAAGTTTTGCGCGGAGTAGGAGCCGAGCGAATATTAACGCGTCCGTTGCGCAAGGTTCAGGATTCTTTAAGGTCAGAGTTTCCTCGCGACGAATAGTGGTGATTCACTATGCAAATGAAAAGAGGCGTAGGCGACGTGACGGAGCGCGGAGAAACGGTCCCGCGTGAATTACAAGCGAGTACAGATAGAGCCTCCCGTCTCGACGATATTGTAGCACTTTTTCTTTTTTTATCTCCATAGATCGTGCGTTATTTTTGTAATGAGAAATATAATGTATATGGATAGTATATGTAGATATATGTGTATAGCGGTTAGCGACGTTAAAACGATTCTATCGTTTATATGTATAGAGAGAAGATTATCGAATGGATCTGTACCGAGATACTGTGAATATTTATTTTGCTCTTTTTTTTTGCATACAAATATATCACGTTTTATAAGTGTTGTGTTGAGAAATACGGCTACGTTCTTTTACCCGAGCTTCCTTCAGTATTCGGGATGAAATCTTGCTCGAAGAAAATATTTCCGATGCACTTTCGAATGAAAACTTGATCACCGAACTGTTGGAACGAAACGAAGTTTGTCGAGAATCTGGTTCGAATAAATCTTCCGGGAATGAGATTTTTAGGAAAATATTCCTGGATAAATCGTGAGATTTTATTCGCGAGTAACGAATTCATTATTCACAAATTAATCGCAGGACGTCGTTAGTTGTCCGAGATTTAAGTGTATACAATTCTAATTATACAGTACCGTTTAATCGATGGATCTAAGATTTATTTAAAGGAGAAAATCTATCTACATGCCATTTATTCAAATGCCTGATCGTTATCGCCCGTGGATCGCGTCAATCGATCGATTAGATAACGTTATCACCAGTCCAGGTGACTTCAACGGTTTTTAATGTTGCTTCTAGCTTTGTCGTGTCACGTTACATTAACCGAGGATTAAAAAGTAGCACGTTTTCTCATAGAAGATTAGACGTGATAAGTTTGCACTCGTCTAACAAGGTCGAGATCGAACTCCTTAGAAAGTTGTTCGAATCTATCGAGCATGCCGCTCTCCGTAAAAACTGTCTTTAAAATACAGAAATTACCTTTCAAAAAGATGGAAATTTCAAATTAATCTTTATCCAATTACCAGAAATTAATTTACTCAAAAGGAATCGTGAAGAAAAAATTAAATTGTTACAGAAGTTACATTGTTAACTTTAAAAAAAAAATCGAATTTTCAAAATCATCTTTATCCAATCTTCAGAAATTAATTTACTCAGAACGAACCATGAAAAGGTTAAATTCTTACAGAGATTATTTTGTTAACTTTCAAAAAAATCGAAATTCTAAACTAATCTTTGTCCAATTTTCAGAAATTAATTTACTCAAAGGGAATCATGAAAAAGAATTAAATTCTTACAGAAATTACATTGTTAATTTTCAAGAAAAATTGAAATTTCGAACTAATCTTTATCCTAATTTACTCAAAAAGAACTATGGAGCAGATTATCAATTTCCTCTCGTTACTCATAAAAACCAGCAGGTAGGTCAGACTAATCAGCAGGTAGGTCAGTTTAACACGTTGACTGCCGCGCGCATTTTACGTGGTTTGCCCATGGCGTCAACATGAATTTTTTATTATGCGTCGCCGGTGAACCCCGCGTTAACAGTCAACGTGTTAATCAGTATTGAAAAGTCTCGATCGCAAGAAGCAGAGTCTAATACTCAGAGCAAACATAATCGAGGATCGATGCAGCGTGAAGTAAGTAGCAAGTCCTATAATCGATTGATCGCTGCTCTTTTTTCCCCTTGTCTTTCGATGCTCCCAATGTCATTATCCACGATTTTTCTAATCGTGATCAACGAGTCCTCGATCTTAGATCTCTCTTCGAGGTCCACAGGTTGAAGTGAAGATCTCGAGGAATTTCACATTGGTTACGTTGGAACAGTGTGAATCGTTGAAGATCTGGAGGACTAATTTCCCCGGAAGAGTGTGAATCATGGCGGTGGAATCGAGGTAAGAGTAGAAAACCATAATCAACTGTCTACGTGTATACACGTTGACTTCCTGCCAAACTTTCAACTTTACTTTCTCTGGTGTTCACTCGTGGAGGGAAGTTGTGTTTTCAGCGTTCGTTGGATCACCGGACTGCTCGTTCTTTAATGGTTAATTGGCTGCTCCTTTGTAACAACAAGTCTCGTTTGGAAGAAGTTTGGAAGTCGAGTGTGGTTTAGGGAGAGACTTTTGGTCTTTTGATGAAGTCTGACGTTAAGAGATTCTGGGGGATCTCGAGTGCTTTTTGTGTTATAGGTTATTGGATTTTTATTACTCGGAGTGTAGTATTATTAGAACAAGTTTCGAGCTTGCTTGAGCTGTACAACTTGATATTAGGAGATTTTCGTTGATACAAGAATCGCCTATGTATTGTATATTTCATTTATTCAACGGACAAGGTAGAATTCCCTATTGCACATAAATATAAAAAGTATCTTCCTGTAATTACAACTGAAACTCGAAAATATGCATATATTCATTTAACTTGTTGTGCCACAAATTTCAGCAAAGTACGATTCCCTAATGTATAATACATAAAATTAAAAATTACTGCGTGATTTATGACAGGTGTTGCTTTTCTGTAATTAAAAACGTAGTGCAGGAAAATGTATTCGTTTAAGTATTTGTTCAACAAGTTTAAAAAATATTTTCCGAGGAAAGGAACATTGGAAATAAAGGAAAATTGGAAGAAAAGGAAAATAAAAACAAAGAAAGATTGAAAGGAAAGCAAAATTAAAAGGAAAGGAAAATCGAAAGGAAAAGAAAATCGAAAGAAAAGCAGAATTAAAAGGAAAGGAAAATTAGAAAGAAGGGGAAATTGGAAGGAAAGGAAAATTAGAAGGAAGGGGAAATTGGAAGGAAAGGAAAATTAGAAGGAAAGGAAAATTGGAAGGAAAGGAAAATTAGAAGGAAAGGAAAATCGAAAGGAAAGGAAAATTAGAAGGAAAGGGAAATTGTAAGGAAAGGAAAATTGAAAAGAAAGAAAGATTGGAAGGAATGGAAAATTGAAAAGAAAGGAAAATTTGAAGGAAAGGAAAATCGGAAAGAAAGGAAATTGAAAGGACAATTGAAACAAATGACCAAGCACCAAGAAAAAGGTTAAGAAATTTTTTCCAAATGCAAAATTCCAGAATTTCCTCAAAGTTCCCCAAGTGCTCTGGCAAAATGCCGCACTGCAACTTCTCGAGTTCGTTCCAGCCGCGAATATCGGCCGAATTGCCGCAAAAACCGTGCATGATAAACGTTCATCGCTGTTTCAAAGGGGGCGTTACACGCGTCCGGTGATTGATAACGAAGACAAAGGCGCGAAACGCTGAGCTCGTCCGCCCCCGGGGGGCCTAGCTGTCTCGCGAGCACGCGAAGAAGACGCAAAAATAACGAAGGCGGAAAGTTTCTTTCGACGTGGACGCCGCGCCGCCGCGTGCACACCGGTGCCACTTAGGATCTCGGAATTCTACTTTAAAAAAGAAGCCCCCGTTCTCTTAGAATTTTTCGCTGCGTGATATCCGTGGACGTATAATTTCCGAAAAGTAATTTAACTTTGGAGACCGTTTAACCTTTTAACGGTGTATCAAAAGTAAGGGGAAAAAGGAAAGGAGAGAAGGCGAATTTTCCAGAGGATTTCCACGGACAGAGGAGACGAAGAATGAAAAGGATACTCGGAGTTTAAAGGAGAAAGAGGGTAGGATCGTACTAGGAAACCGATGTTTCGCCATAAATCTCTTAGCAGAGAACGGAACAGTGGTCACTACGGAAGTACGTGAGATTTGTGTGGCCAGAGATTCCCATCGAACCGGCAAACTTGCCAAAGATATCGTTCTAACGAGTACCTCTCTTTTCTTTTCATCTCCAGTACAACGACCACCTTAACAGAGAGACACCATAATTCTACTATTTCGAACACTGGCTGTTCCAAGTTTAATTCTATCTCGGAATCTATCGAGAATCACGAGAATCTTGTACTAGAAGATTACACTTTCCGAGAGAGCTGCTGCGCGAAAATTCGAATGGAGATCTTTCGATTCGATTTTCACTTCGAATTGAACTATCTAACATTTCGGTGGATTTCTGTTCTTAAATTTAAAGGGCTAGGTAGTTTTGGGGAAGACGAAGTTAGGGAGCTTTTGACAATTTTTATCGGGTATGTATTTGATTTTATTGAATGATTGGGGATGCCATTTTTGAGTATAGACTTTTAAGAATAATTCCTGAAAATTGCATTGAAATTTTTTTCGAAATGATGGAAATGTGGTGGTTTCAGTGAGTCAGGGTTTTGATAATATAATAGCATTTGGGGTATCAGAAATACTCTGTTAATTTTTATCAGAAGTAAAAAAATTAAATACTTCAAAGAAACGATAAAGGATTATTCAACCTATCTAGGTGCATCTAACGCCTTAATATCCAGAATGACACCCAAAATATCAAAGATTCTCCAATTTTTCTCAGAAATAAAGGAAAAACGAAATATTTGAAGTGTCGCAGTGAAAATATTAAAGATCCTTCCAAGTAAACGACACCATCACCGAAACTACCCCGCTAAATTAATTCGAGCCACTTAAATCCCTCGTCTGAACTGCACTCTCTCTTCTTTCTTCGAACGAGCACGAGTCTCGATTACGCGTCGAAATATCGACAATCAGAGGACGAACAGGGGTGGATTGTTTTGGAATTATGACGGGGTACACGTGGCACTGGGTGGACAAATAATTATTCCCGATGTCCTCGGGGGGGTTGGGACAATTAGCGGTGGGACGGACTAACGAGGATAATGATTCGTTTCAGATGGATGCCGTGTCAGCTGAAAATCGAGCCGAACATCTGCAGCTGCGACTACGATGGGATAATCCTGGTGTCAGGGTGCGCGCCAGGCTACGACGAGCCGGAGCCGTTCAAAACCGTCCTGTTTAGCGCTGCCCAGATCGATTCCGCCCTGGGCGTGATCGGCGCGGTTTTGCCCATCAATTTGCCCGCGAAAAGGCTCATTTACAGCCCGACTGGACCGCTCAACATGGATTATCACGACGTGCGTAGTTTCGCTGAAGCGGCCACCAAAGGTGTCCAGAGGTAATAATCGATCTCTTGTATTTCTCTCTTTAACCACTTGACCTATGATTTTTTTTTCCACTGTGCATCTAAGCGTGAGTCGTTTATTGTTTCAGTACAGTATCGGTTAACAAAAGTTTGTCTGTTGTAGATTAATTACATTTAGGAATTCTCAGTGTTAGAAATTAGAACGAAAATTAAGATTACGATGAATTTTTCTTAATAATGTAACTGTGGCGACTGCCACGGGGGGGCCTAAGTACCTAGGCCTGGCGACTCTTGGCCCTCGAGGCGAACATCTCTGGGTTTCTTCGTCCTCGAGGACAAGAGTATCGCCTTGGCAATGTAGGCCCGCGGACTTTCCCAGGGAAGAAGGGGCTACTTAAGCGAAGTAGCCTTCGATGCAACGCGGAACGAATTAACCGTGTTATAGAATGGCCTATTTTGCAAGATCGCGAGTGTAAGGATGTGTGTCCATCTCTGAATTTTTTACGATAATTGCTCTCGAGAGTACTCTCAATACAGTGTGCACACTGAGAAATTTCACTCTGGAGAGCAACTCGCGATAGTTTTACCCTCAAATATACACGTTACCCTAAGGTCCTTTTATTTTCATACTTTTCAGCGTTTTAATTTAGTCGACGCTATTTTTGGAAGTTTGTTCAGGTAGCTATTAACACACTTGACTCTGGAGAGCAACTCGCGATAGTTTTACCCTCAAATAAACACGTTGCCCTAGGAACATTTTATTTTGATATTTTTCTGCTTTTTAATTTAGTCGTCGTTATTTTTGAAAGTTTATTCAAGTGGCTGTTAACATATTTCATATTGCGGGAAAATTGAAACGAAGTTAAACAGTCGGGTTAATTATAGAAAAATGTCTAATCGATCTTTCTTTTTACGTATTTTGCGTGGAAGAATATTCGTTTTTCATTTAACGTAACATCCATTGCTAATTTCCACTGTAATACAAATTATTTTAATTATTCTTTCAATAAATAATACTTACAGCTACCACTGAAGCCTAAAACTCATATTTTCTATCAAGTAATTTCAACACAAAAATTTATTTACTTTTTCAATTTTCCAACAAAGTAAACATTTTATCACAGAGTGTAATCAATACTAAAAGCCGTGTATTCCTTCCTTTTTAACTCTCCAAATATTTCACATTGAACAATTTGAACGTAAAGAAAAACATTTAAACAATCGTAGAAAAATACACGAAGTAAAGTGGCAAATTTATCAATCATCGAAAAGGAGGATAAACGAGGTATTAATTAGAGGCGATCGCTGGGATAATTGGTTATTAATTGGCCGGGGTAATTGGCGGCGTTGATCAAAGGTCAGACTCATTAGACGAGCGCGGATTACGCGTTTGTCGAATAACGAAGAAGATTTCGCAGGGATAACGCGGTTAACTTGGCCTTGCGTGGCTGGACCTGATCGGGCCGAAATGTTTGCTCTCCGCGGAAAGGGCCATCGTCGAGGGAACACCGTGGATAATCGAATTGCTCGACAAACCATCGGCTAACGAGCGACGCGAATTTTCGGATTATCAGTTCGTGTGCCGACGAAAAAGAGCGTGGTTTTGCGTATATTTCATTCGCGTCGAAATCACGCGACTTGTTCGCCATTTTCCGCCTCTGCTTCACCTCTAACCTTGTCGTTCTTTTTTCTTTTTTTTTTTATGAATACACAACGTTGTTGCAGCGATAGTAGTATTTTTATTGTGAATTTCGTGCGTTGATAGAATGAACGTATGCAATTTTTTAAGTTAATCTTTCAAGTGATAAATGGTCAATGGAAAGTGGAACTATTGAGATTAAAGGTGAATGGACAATATTTGTAGGCAATGATAAAGTAAATGTATGCAATCTTGGGACATGACCTTGCGACTAACAAATTTAGAATTATTAAAATTAAGCTAAATGGACAATATTTGTGGACAAAGATAAAATAAATATATGCAATCTTGGAACCTAATGTTTCGGCTAACAAGTGGTCAGTGGTTTCTAAAACTATTAGAATTAAATGAACAATATTTGTGGACAAAGATAAAATAAATATATGCAATCTTGGAACCTAATGTTTCGGCTAACAAGTGGTCAATGGTTTCTAAAACTATTAGAATTAAATGAACAATATTTGTGAAGAAAGATAACGTAAGTATATGCAATGTTAAAACTTAACCTTTCAACTAATAGATGGTCAATGGAACTTGGATCTATTGAAATTAAAGGTAAATGGAGAATATCTGTGGACAAAGATAAAATAGATATATACAATCTTGAAACCTGACCTTTCAACTGGTGAATTGTCAATGGATTTTAAAATGATTAAAATTAAGCTAAATGGACAATATTTGTAGACAAAGATAAAATAAATATATGCAATCCGTAAACCTAACCTCTCATCTAATGGTCAATGGAACCTAAAATAATTAAAACTAACGAGAGAATTAGCGTTTGATAATCCTCGGTATTGTAATTTACAGCTAAAATTCCAATTAAAACAGAAACTATTACCAGCAGAATTTGCTCT